AAACACTTTATTGCTAAAAAATGTTAATCATCATCTGAGCCTTTAGCAAATCATACATTAATTGGCTGGTGGCGGGTCTTGCCTCAATGTTGATGGCTGCTGACTGATCAGGGTGGGCCTGCTGACTGATGGTTGGCTGTGGTAATTTCTTAAAATAGAATAACGAAGTTTGCCACATCAATTGACTCTTTCTTCCAAGAACAATTTTTCTGAAGCATGCCATGCTATTTGATAAGTTTATCTACAGTAGAACTTCTTTCCAAATTGAAGTCAATCCTCTCAAACCATGCCTCTGCTTTATCAATTAGGTTGATGTAATATTCTAAATCCTTTGCTGTCATGTTAACAATCTTTTTTTTTTATTTTCACAGTATCTTCATGGGGAATAGATTCCGACACAAGAAACCACTTTATTTGCTCATCCATGAGAAGCAACTCCTTAACTACTCAAGTTTCATCATGAGATTGCAGCAATTCAGCTACATCTTCAGGTTCCACTTCAAGATCAGTTGCAGTTTCCACATCTGTAGTTGTCCACTGTTAAGTCTTGAACTCCTCAAAGTCATCTATGAAGGTTGTAATCAAGCTCTTCCAAACTCTGACTGATGTTGATATTTTGACCTCTTTCCATGAATCACAACTGTTCTTAATGGCCTCTAGAATGGTGAATTCTTTCCAGAAGGTTTTCTATTGACTTTGCATAGGTCCATCAGAGGAATCACCATCTAGAGCAGCTATAGCCGTATGAAATGTATTTCTTAAGTAATAAGACATGAAAGTCAAAATTACTCCTTGATCCATGAGCTGCAGAATAGATATTATGTTAACAGGCATGGGAACAACATTCATTTCATTGTACATCTTCATCAGAGCTCTTAGGTGACCAAGTGCTGTAGGGTCACACAAGGATACAGCTCGATTCCCCCTCCCAGTCAGCTGAACGGTGTCCAGCAGCCACAAGGAGCAGAACAGCACAGAACAGGGACTTTTCCCATGTCCTTGACAGTGAGAAAGTTTGCTTTGTCTTTAGCCTGCAAGAAAACCATACCCAGCACCACCTCCTCCCCCTCCCCACTGCTAGATAAACACCTGTCTGACTCTGGCCAAGTGCAGTAATTCACTAGAACCAGCTGCCATCCCATCCCTTTTGTCTTCCCCACTGTGAAAGTACTATGTCCTTCCCCTTTGGTCTCCCTCCGGTTTTTTTTTTTTTTTTTTTTTTGACTATCAAAGAACACAGTGGCACTCCAAACCTGGTGACAGGTGCATTGTCATTGAGCAGTAATATTTTCAAAGGAATCTTTTTCTCTGAACAATAGGTCTCAAAATGGGCTTAAAATATTCAGTAAACCATGTTATAAACAGATATACTGTCATCCAAATTTTATTGTTCCATTTATAGAGAGCACTGGAAGAGTAGAATCAGCATAACTCCTAAGGGCTCTAGGATTTTCAGAATGATCTAAATAAGCATTGGCTTCAATGAAATTTTTTTTTCTTCATTAATTTTTAGAGAGAGGGGAAGGGAGAGAGCGAGATAGAAACATCGATGAAAGAGAATAACGATTGGCTGCCTCCTGCATGCCCTTCATTGGGGATTGGGCCCATAACCTGGGCATGTGCCCTGACTGGAAATTGAACTGGTGATCTCTTGGTGCCTGGGTCACTCAACCACTGAGCCATACCAGCCGGGCGCATTGGCTTCAATTTAAAGCTACCTGAGTCTGACTGTCCTTTGAAGCTTTGAAGTCAGGCATTTTTTTTTTTTTTTTAATTTTTAATTTTTTTATTAATTTATTTTTGTTACAGATGTTTTTCCTTTTTCCCCCATTGACACCCTCCTCCCAACCCCCCACCACCTACCCGGTCCCCAGCATTGTTGTCTATGTCCATGGTTACCCATACATGCATATAAATTCTGTGGTTTATCTCCCCCCGCCCCCAAACCCCTCTTCTGAGGTTTGTCAGTCTTACCCTACTTCTATGTCTCTGGGTCTATTTTGTTCATTATATTCCACAAATAAGTGAGATCATGTGATATTTGTCATTCTCTGACTGGTTTATTTCACTTAGCATAATACTCTTCAGGTCCCTGCATATTGTCTCAAAGGATAAGAGATCTTTCTTACAGCTGCATAGTATTCCATTGTGTATATGTACCACAGCCAGGCATTCACTTCTCTTCTCTAGCTGTGAAAGACCTAGATGGCATCTTTCAATATAAGGCTGTTTCATCTAATTGAAAATCTGTTGTTTAATGTAGCCACTTTCATTATTTTAGCTAGACCTTCTGGATAACTTGCTGCAGCTTCTATATCAGCACTTGTTGCTTCACCTTGCACTTTTATGTTATAAAGCTGGCTTCTTACCTTAAATCTGATCAACCAACATCTGCCATCTTAAAAATTTTCTTCTGCAGCTTCCTTACCTCTCCCAGTCCTTGCTCTAGATTAGGCTTTGGCTTAAGGCAATATTGTAGCTGGTTTGATCTTCTATCCAGACTACTAAAACCTCCATATCAGCAAAAAAGCTATTTTGCTTTCTCAATACTCCTGTGTTCACTAGAGCAGCATTTATGTTTTTCCTCATTAAACTTTGTTTTAATGGGTCTCAAATGTCTGTGACTGATTTTTGGTCATGTTGTTTCTATTAAAAAGTACCGACTTTAAAAACTAATATCTTAAAAATCGCCACACAAAAAAACAAATGGTCTACCAAACATTCTCCTTTCTTTCTGAAGCTTTTGATTCATTGTAATCATTGTCTGATGGACTGGCACCAGGCAAACTGCTCAACCATTACCTCACTTACCCAACCTTAACTCCTGCCCTGTTCCAGGAACTGTTTGCCCCGGGCTTATAGACCCACAGCCTATTACGCGTCAGGCAGATATAAAAATCGCAGACCCCAGCATCGGGCGCAGTCTGTGAACCGGCCCGGAGTGTACCCAATAAAGCCTGATCTGGTTATTCGGCTGTTTGGCTCTCCAGTCTCTTCTCATCTTTTCAGCGGCGCCCCCAATTCCTTACAATCATTAACCAGTCTTTTACTATTAAACTTAAGTGACCAATTGAGACAAACAGGTCTGACCTTTCTTTCACCACTGCATAAGGCTGGGGGTGGCAAGTATTGGGAAGAATATTCATATAGTCTTCTTGGTGACTTGGTGACTTTGCCAGCTCCAGCTGCCTTTTGGTCCATTGTTTTGATGACACCCAAAGCAACTCTCTGTTTCATGCCACAAACAGCAAAACAGCCCAGAGGAGCTCTCAACCCACATGGGCTTGCCAGAAACCAGATAGACAATGGCAGGATCACCAGATTTCAAAAACTGTGGGCCATCTTCCAGCTTCTTCCCAGAACAATGATCAATCTTCAGCTCAGCAAATTTGCAAGCAATTATGAGCTGTATGCCAATCCAGCACAGGTGCACGTCCAGCACTGATTTGGCCTGGATGGTTCAGGATACTCACCTGAGCTGTGAAGCCAGCTGCTTCCACTGGTGGGTCATTTATGCTGTCACAAGCCACACTGCCACTACAACATTGTGTCTGTCAAAGGTGTTCACCGTGGAGTGGCACTTTTAATTTCCTTTCAGAAGTTTTCCTTGGCTAACTGGTACAAGAGGCCTAACTTTAAGCCTGTCTCAGCTTTTGACATGTCTTCCTCATTAAGCTTCATCATTTCTAGCTTTTGATTTAAAGTGAGAGACACCTAACTCTTCCTTTCACTTGAACACTCAGAGGTCATTATAGAGCTATTAATCAACTTAAGTTCAACACTGTTGTGTCTCAGATAATAGGGAGGCTCAAGGAGACAGCAACAGAGATGTAGAACAGCTAGTCAGTGGAGCAGTCAGAACACGCACAGCATTTAGCAGTTAAGTTCGCTGTTCTATATGGGCATGGTTCATGGTACCCCAAAACAATTATAATCCTAACATCAAAGATCACTGATCACAGACCACCATAACAAATATAATAATACCGAGAGAGTCTGAAATATTGTGGGAATTACCAAAATGTGACACAGATACACAAACTAAGCAAATGCTGTTGGAAAAATGGCACCGGTAGACTTGCTCAACACAAGGTTGTCACAATCCTTCAATTTCTAACAACAACAACAACAACAACAACAAAAGCAACATCTGGGAAGTGCAATAAAACAAAGCATAACAAAATGAGGTATGACTGCAGAGGCTAAAAACTTTCAGCCCCACTCCCCTATCCTACCATTTTCCCTAACCTGAGGAACTTCGGGGAAGAGAGAGTGACTGCAGGTTGAAATAATCACCAATAGCCAGTGATTTAATTAATCATACCTATATAATAAAACCTACATTAAAAATTCCTAAAGTATGGGGTTTGGGAACTTTCAGGTTGGTGAAAACATGGAGGTGCTGGGAGGATGGCACACTTGGAGAGGAAATGTAAGCTCCACATCCCTTCCCCAAGCCTTGCCCTATGCTTATCTTCTCCCTGGCTGTTCCTAGGTTGTATCCTCTGATAATAAACTGGTAATGTAGCAAGTCAACTGTTTTCCTGAGTTCTGCAAACCATTACAGCATATTTTCAAACCCAAAGAGGCAGTCATGGGAACTCCAACTGATAGCCAATCAGTCAGAAACACAGGTGACAACTTGTACTTGTGACTGGCATCTGAAATGGGAGCAGTCTTGTGGGACTGAGCCCTTAACCTATGGAACCTGATGCTAACTACAGGCAAATAATGTCAGAATTGCATATGACCTACAATTATCCCAAGTAAAAATATTTCATTTAAAAAATATACTCCCTTTTTTCCTACATGAAAAGAAAGTTAGAGTTAAAAGAAAGAAGTACCTTCCCTTTCCTGCTTCAATATCCACCTATCTGTGGATAAATTTGCTAATTATTTGATAAAATTTTACTGTCCTGTAATTTGGAAAATCTTTCATTAATAAGATTAAATATAAAAACAGAAATATACCGTGATTATAAATAATATAATCTCCTTACCAATGTTCCCCGGAAATATCCTGGCTTCTTATACCATGCTTTGTTGCCTTCCTCTTCACAGATACATAGATGATCCATAAGTCCATTACTATATACAAAACATTTTCCTAACAAAGAAGATTACAACAGTCAACAATTACTTCCCACAAGTGTATTATTTTTATTGATGAACAAATTAAAATTACAAGGAGGGGACCAGAAAATTATAAGAAAAGATATACTTTTTGTCCTCATCTTTTCGGATGACATATACATATGATTTGCTTAATGACAAAGCATTGGAATATAAATTTTCAGTGGTTGAAAGTAATTGAGCAAATTAGTGAATTATATGTTTTCAGAACTGTAGTAAGCAAATGCACACAAAAATGAATTCTTTTTGGTTATCTGAGCGAATGGAGAGAAAAGGTAAAGGAGGAAAACCTGTTCTGATATAAGAACATTGGTGTACATCCTCTCTATTTAACAAGAAAACTCTGTGGTATGCAAGAGAAATGCAGACAAAAATATATTATGAATCTAATGTATCTGAAAGTTGCTAAGAGAGTAAGTAGATCTTAAAAGTTCTCAAGACATGCAAAAGTAAATTTTTGAGGTGATGGATGTTAACTAAACTTATTGTGGTAATCATTTCACAATATATACATATATTAAATCATTATGTTGCATACCTAAAACTAATCCAGTGTTACTTGTCAATTATATCTCAATAAAAATAGATCATAAAAAAATATGTTCTTCTTGGTCAATGTAAATGATGCTATGCTTTGTTCCTTTCTCTGGATTTATACTGCTCAGTTTAGACATTCATCACCTTCCACCTATTTTACTACTTTCTCTAATACCAACTCCTTCCCATTATTGGACTAACTCTTGCTGCCAAAATTGTCTTCTCTGTTCGACCATCTATATTATTCTGTGAATTTTATAATACATAAGGCAAATGCCTCCTGTTTTTAGGGCTTTCTTTTTTAATTTTAATTATTTTTTCCATCTTTAATGTATAGAAAACTACCTTACTTTTTAGTCTCCTCCTACAACTTTTCTACCCTGTAATTCATCTGAAATATGCCTGCTATTCGTTCTATCACACTGCTATGTATTCAACAGTATCATTTATGTCTCAGCCAATTTCCTCACAGTCCAGTTTTGTTTTTTAAACCTGTTTTAAAGTGCCATTATCTTCATAAAACTATAAAAATTGATGAAGAAATTGCTTATTTTTGCCCATCTAATAAAAGTGTATAATTTCTCTTCTCAGATTGCACATAAACCATACCATCTAGAAATTAACCAATTTCTGCCTGATAAAATAATGAGTTTCCAATCACTGTATTCAAGCAACTGTTGATGTTGTAGGATTGTCATGGCTCTTGGGCTACGGAGCAAGCTAGATTCTAAGGTCCCTGACAAGTATAATTCTGCTCTTACATCCTCTGACTTAATTAGTATGTTCATAAAAGTGTTATATATACATGTTTGTTTTCTGCCTACATCTCATCATGTACAAGTGATGAAAAACTGCTTCTGCATGATGGTAAATATTTTTAATTAAAAAAAAGAGATTAATATTCAAACAATAATGAATTCAGTAACATTTAAAAATCTAACAACAGTTCCAGGATAACTAGTACATACCTTTATGAAATGGATTGCTTTGGGCTTGCAGTCGAATTTTAACAACATCCAGGGGTGTCACTATGAAGATACATAAATTTCAATTAATTGCATCTAAATTTAGAAATGTTTGTCCAAAGAACACAAAATACAAGGTGGGGCAAAAGTAGGTAAACAGTTGTGAGTATGTGAAGCAAACTTTATTCTTGTATTGTTAATTATTAATTATTGTATTATTTTCCATTTGACTGTATAATAATGGGCAAAATTATTTATCTTAAAATGGTTATGCAAATAACATTTTAATTTTTGCCCTTGAATTTTGTTTGAGGTGGATCAACAAAAAGACAATGTAATCACTTCTCTCACAAGTACTAAAATGTCTATTAAAATATTTCTATAACTATAATTCCATTAACATCAAAACTAAAATACTAGTCCAAAAGTCTACTTACATATGGAGAATAACTCAGTATTACAAGTAATCAATAATGAAACAATATTAGTCTTCATAATCTATTAAATTTACCTGTATTGAATGAACACTATAGTTAATGTAAATTTGAGAAATCCAGTCATAAATCAACTTTACCAACAGGTTGTATTATTCCATCTGGGAATAGCACAACAAAGGAGAATGCTTTTAATTTGCATACTGTGTTTTGCCCAAGTAGAAAAAATGCCATATAATGGTACCAAAGAAAACTTCTCCTCATCTGAAAGTGATTTATTTCTAAGGCCTTTGCAACCCTAACATTCTGACCTGAAGTAAAATACTGCTATATTAAAGCAATTAGTTTATATTTGTTCTAGTCATCTGCCATCTTATTTTAATAAACCAGCCAAGAAAATAATTAACATTATAAACTATCACCTACCTATGTCATTTGGCTGTTTCTATAAGAAACTATCAAAAAAAACCCAAAAAAACAGAAAAATGTGGTCCAGAAAAATTTAAGAAATTTACCATTAATACAAGCAAAATTAAACAATTTGTATTTATTGCTACTGTAAATTGTCCAAATTCTGTATTATTCATTATGCTGATATTTTATTTCATCTACTTGCTTTCTATTTTAAAAAGGATAAAAGAGAAAAGTTTAACACAGATAGGGACCACAGAAAACTCCTGGTACAAGCCCCTAAGTTACAGATGAAAAATGAACCTCAGAGAGAAGTAGAGACAATCCCAAAGTGCATCCATCTTGAGAATGACAAAACAAGGACTAAAATTCAAGTCACTTGATACTCTGCCGTGGGTTCTTTTATGTTATGTTGATGGAGGAATACTGTCATTTATGAAGAATGAATGATAATATTATCATCATTTCACAAATAATAAAACTCAAATGGATTTAATGATTCATTCAATTATATAATCTACATCAATAACGTTATTTTACCCATTAGTGATGTCAGTATAGCTCCAGTACAAGAAGCAAGCATTTGTTGAAGAGGTGTCACTTTGATAATCTGTGGTCCCTCTGCTTCAGAATCCATATTTTTAACTAACTGAAGAAAAATCTGTTAAAGAAAAGCAAGATGTAAAATAAAAGTTTAATGAAAAATGACTGCAAAACTGACTGCTATAAATTTTTAAAACTATAAAAACAATGACCAATATTAATATCAAAGCACATGTTGTGATAACTATCAAGAGTATGTATGTAAATTCTATACACAAAGACACTACACAACTGTCCTTAGTAGAACATGTTCTCTCATTCTCCAAAAAAGGTAAACACTTCAGCTAAGCTGTGTGAGCAGCATCATTCTTGCAAGACGGTTAATAGAGCATTAAGAAAACAGACTCTGACTATGTAACACAATGAAAGCAGCTGACCAACAAGACGCAGAATCTATGAATTTAGCCTCTAAGAACTATTCAGATACTCTAATATGGTACAGTTATCAGCAAATAATAGCACTCTTTTTACTGCATACCAAAAGCTGTTGCAAAGGTATAAAAATAAAAACACAAGCTCCATAAGAAACATCTTAGAAAAATGTGATGAGGAAAACAAAATATACTTCCTTAAAAAAAGTCAGTCAACAAAAAAAGCACAAAAATCACTTATAAACTTGCTATTCAAAAATAACCACTGGCAACATACAGGTGTCATCTTTCTAAATGTGTCACATGCTCATAAATACATGTGTAAATATGCAAATGATGTTGTACATATTATGTACAGGTGAGGCAAAAGTAGATTTACAGTTGTGTGTACATGAAACAGAATTTATTCTTGTATTATTAATTATAAACTTACCTTATGCCCACCCTGTTATGTATATGCAGATGTTATTTGCACGTGCAGATTACATCTAATTAAACATTAATAAACATTTGTATATCTTTGTACATGCCTTTCTTTTTATTTATATTGTTGAAAATATTACAGATGTTCCCTCCTTTCCCCCCCCATTGATCCTCTCCACCCCACTCTGTGTACATGCTTTTCAGAAAAACAAAAATATTGTATGTAAACTGTATTGAAAAATAAAGTAAAAAAAAATAAGTTACTACTACTATTCATATTATTTAATAGACCATTTTGACACTTAAAAATACAGACATTGTGTCACTATAGATCTACATTATAATTTATGCTTGAAGTTTTTAATTTTATAAGAACCAGTCTCATATTGTTAGATATTAAGTTTACTACTAGTTTTTCTTTTTTTTTTATCCTCACCTGAGAACATTTTTCCATTTTGTTCTGGTAGAGTGGGAGGGAGAGACAGAGAGAGAGAAACATCGACGTGAAAGGGACATATCGAGTGGCTGCCACCCGCACAACCAACCAGGGCCGGGGACAAACCACAACTGAGGTACATGCCCTTTGCAGGAACCAAACCCAGGTCTCTCTGGACCACAGGCCGACGCTCTAACTGCTGAGCCAAACCGGCCAGGGCGAAGAAACTTAATTTTGATAATACTCCAGTTCATATCCCAATTTTGTCTATTATCCCAATAATAATTTTGCAAAAATAAATAATAGTTTTATTGTTTCTTTAAACTTTTACCTGTTTTTAAATTTTTTAATTGAATTTATTGGGGTGACATTGGTTAGTAAAATTGTTTCAGGTGTTCAATTCCATAATACATCATTACTGCATTGTGTGTTCACCACCCCAAGTCTCCTTCCATCACCATTTATCCTCCTTTTACTGTCTTCTACCTCCCCCCCCAACCCCCTTTCCCTCTGATAATCACCATACCATTGTCTGTGAGGTGGTTTTTTTTTAATCCCTTCATCTTTTCCACCCAGGCCCCTAACACTCTCCTCTCTAACAGCTGTCAGTCTGTTTTCTGTATCTATAAGTCTGTTTCTATTTTGTTTATTTTGTTCATTAGATTCCACATATAAGTGAATTCATGTGGTATTTGTCTTTCTCTGACCGGCTTATTTCACTTAGCACAATACTCTCCAGGTCCATCCATGCTGCCACAAAAGGTAAGATTTCCTTCTTTTTTTAAGGCCAGGTAGTATTTCATTGTGTAAATATTTTTATCCACTCATCTACTGGTGGGCAATTTGGGCTCCTTCTAAATCTTGGCTATTGTAAATAATGCTGCAATGAACGCAGGGGTGCATGTATTGTTTTGAATCAGTGTTTTAAGTTTCTTTAGATATATTCCAAAAAGTTGAATTGCTGAGTCATAAGGCAGTTCCATTTTTAATTTTTTGACGTAACTCCATACTGCTTTCCACAGTGGCTGCATCAATCTGCATTCCCACCAACAGTGTGTGAGGGTTCCCTTTTCTCTGCAAGCTCACCAACACTTGATTTATTGATGATATCCATTCTGACAGATGTGAAGTGTTATCTCATCATGGTTTTAATTTGCATTTTTCTGATCATTAATGATGTTGAGCATCTTTTCATGTCTATTGGCCATCTGTATGTACTCTTTGGAAAAGTGTCTGTTCAGGTCCTTTACCCCTTTGTTCCTTTTTTTCTGTTAGTCCTCACCTGAGGATATTTTTTCCCTTGCTTTTTAGAAAGAGTGGAAGGGAGGGAGAGGAGAGAAGGGGAAAGGGGGACAGAAGGGAGAGAGAGAGAGGAAGAGACCGACAGATAGAGAAATATTGATGTGAGAGAGACACATTGATTGGTTGTCTCCCACATGTGCCCTAACAAGGGCCAGGGATGGAACCTACAACAGAGGTATGTGACCTTAACTGAGAATGAAACTCACTCTAACCACTGAAAAACAGTGGCCAGGGCCCTTTGCCCATTTTTTAATTGGATAGTTTTTATGGTGTTTACTTTTATAAATTCTTTATAAATTTTGGATATTAATCTCTTATCAAATGTATTATTGGCAAATACATTCTTTCATTCAGTGGGGTGTCGTTTCATTTTGTTGATGTTTTTCTTCATTATATAAAAACTATTTAGGTTTTTTTTTTTCAATCCTCACCCGAGGACATTTTTTGATACTTTGTTCAGATAGAGTGGGAAGGAGAGAGAGGGAGAGAGAGGGAGAGGGAGAGAGAGAGAGAGAGAGAGAGAAACATCGACATGAAAGGGACACATCGAGTGGTTGCCACCCACACGACCCAACCAGAGCCAGGGACAAACTGCAACAGACGTACGTGCCCTTAGCGGGAACCGAACCTAGGTCTCTACGGACTGCAAGCCAACATTCTAACAGCTGAGCCAAACCTGGGCCAGGGCCTATTTAGCTTTATGTACTCCCATTTGTTTATTTTTTCTTTTCTTTCCCTTGCCCAAGGAGACATATCATAAAAATACTGCTACAAGAAATGTCCTAGATTTTACTACCTACGTTTTCTTCTGGGATTTTTACAGTTTTGAGTCTCACATTTAAGTCTTGAATCCATTTTGAGTTTATTCCTGTGTATGGTGTAAAAAGGTGATCTAATTTCATTTTCTTGTACTTCTGTACCCAATTTTCCAGACACCATCTATTGAATAGACTGTGTTTACCCCATTATATGTTCTTGCCTTCTTTGCCAATATTAACTGACAATATAGGTGTGGGTTTATTTCTGGGCTATTTTGTTCCATTGATCTATATGTCTGTTTTTATGCCCAGTACCATGCTGTTTTAATTACTATGGCCTTGTAGTATAGTTTGATGTCAGGTAGCATGATTCCTCCATCTTTGTTCTTTTTTCTCAAGACTGTTGTGGTACCCACCTGGTTTAAGTCTTTTCCTCAACTCTGTGCTCCAATATTTTGTTTGTAACATCAGTAGCTGAAAACCTGTAGTGAAAGAAAAAAACAAAAACAAAACTGTTTTATGTTTTCACACAGGAAAAGCCTAAAGGAAAGGAGCATGTAAAAAACTTTAAAACACAAAGTAACATTTATTGAATGCTTTCTAGTAAGTACTTTGAGGAATATGAAGAACACGCCACAAATGCTAGCATTAGAGTTATGAAAGTATTTTCACAAAAACTTCCTATTATCCTAGTACATATATTCCACTTTAAAAACAAACAATTCTAGCTCTTTCTGTCTCCGGCTGCGGCCTCGTGAGGAGCTGCTGCCATGTCTGCCCATCTGCAGTGGATGGTCCTACGAACTGCTCCAGTTTCCTGATCAAGAGAAACAAGCAGACGTACAGCACCGAACCCAATAACCTGAAGGCCCGCAACTCCTTTCGCTACAATGGGCTGATTCACCGCAAGACGGTGGGCGTGTAGCCAGCGGCCGATGGCAAGGGGGTGGTGGTCGTCATGAAGCGCAGATCCGGCCAGCGAAAGCCGGCCACCTCCTACGTGCGGACCACCATCAACAAGAATGCCCGGGCCACCCTGAGCAGCATGCGGCATATGATCCGCAAGAACAAGTACCGCCCAGATCTGCGCATGGCTGCCATCCGCAGGGCCAGTGCCATCCTGCGCAGCCAGAAGCCCGTGATGGTGAAGAGAAAGCGGGCCCGCCCCACCAAGAGCTCCTGAGCACGCCCCTTCCCCCCAAAGCAATAAAGGTATTGGCCAACTTTGCTCAAAAAAAAAAAAAAAAAAAAAATTAAAATGTCCATACTACCCAAAGCAATCTATAGATTCAATGCAATCCCCATCAAAATACCAACGACATATTTCATAGAACTAGAACAAATACTTCAAAAGTTCATATGGAACCAAAAAAGACCCCGAATAGCCACAGCAATCTTGAAAAAGAACAACAAAGTAGGTGGGATCACAATACCAGATATCAGGTTATACTACAAAGCGACTGTAACCAAAACAGCCTGGTACTGGCACAAGAACAGGCATATAGACCAGTGGAACAGAACTGAAAACCCAGAAATGGACCCAAGGCAATACGCTCAATTAATATTTGACAAAGGTGGCAAGAGCATACAGTGGAGTAAAGACAGCCTCTTTAATAAATGGTGTTGGGAAAATTGGACAGCTACATGCAAAAAAAATGAAACTAGACCATCAACTTACACCATGCACAAAAATAAACTCAAAATGGATAAAAGACTTAAATGTGACCCGTGAATCCATAAAAATTCTAGAAGAAAATGTAGGCAACAAAATTTCGGACATCATACGGAGCAGAATTTTCACTGATACATCACCTAAGGCAACAGAAATAAAGGAGAAAATGAACACATGGGACTACATCAAACTAAAAAGCTTCTGCACAGCAAAAGAAACAATCATCAAAATGGAAAGGCAACCCACTGTATGGGAGAACATCATTGCCAATGATGTATCAGATAAGGGGTTAATTTCCAATATATATAGAGTGCTCATACAACTCCACAAAAGGAAGACAAAGAACCCAATTAAAAAATGGGCAGAGGAGCTGAATAGACACCTCTCCAAACAGGACATACAAATGGCCAAGAGACATATGAAGAAATGCTCAACATCACTAATCGTCAGAGAAATGCAAATTAAAACAACAATGAGGTATCACCTCAAACCTGTCAGAATAGCCGCCATCAACAAATCATCAAACAACAAGTGTTGGCGAGGGTGTGGAGAAAAGGGGACTCTAATATACTGCTGGTGGGAATGCAGACTGGTGCAGCCGCTATGGAAAACAATATGGTGCTACCTCAAAAAATTAAAAATTGAACTTCCATTTGACCCAGTGATCCCACTGCTGGGAATATACCCTAAGAAGCCTGAAACACCAATCAGGAAGAATATATGTACCCCCATGTTCATAGCAGCACTACTTACAATAGCTAAGATCTGGAAACAACCCAAGTGTCCACCAGTAGACGAATGGATAAAAAAGCTGTGGTACATATACACAATGGAGTACTATGCAGCGGTAAGAAAGAAAGATCTCTTATCCTTTGAGACGACATGGAGGGACCTGGAAAGTATTATCCTAAGTGAAATAAGCCAAGCAGAGAAAGACAAATACCACATGATCTCACTTATATACGGAATATAATGAACATAACAGTCTGAGGAATACAGTAGACCCAGACACATGGAAGTAGGGCACAGACCGACATCCCTCAGAAGAGGGGATGGGGGGTGGGGGGGGGTGGGAAGAGATACACCACAGAACTTATATGCATGTATGCATGACCAATGGACATGGACAACTAAGCCGGGGACGGGGTGGAGGTGGGGTGGGGTGGGGGATGCCAATGGGGTAAAAAGGTAAAATATCTGTAACAAAAAAATAAATAAAAATTCATAAAAAAAAAAAAAAACCAAACAAACAATTCTATAACCTGAACACATTGATCAATCTTAGATTATTGTGAAATCAAACAAATAGATTTTGTAACATAAGCTTAAGTATCCGGCATCCTCTATGACATATTTTGGGGGAACGTTTTTCTATCCTCACACGAGGACATTTTTCGATATTTTGTTCAGATAGAGTAGGAGGGAGAAAGAGAGAGAGAAACATCGACGTGAAAGGGACACATCAAGTGGCTGCCACCCACACGACCCAACCAGGGCTGGGGACAAACTGCAACCAAGGTATGTGCCCTTAGCGGGAACCGAACTCCGGTCTCTCCAGACGGCAGGCCGACGCTCTAACCACTGAGCAAAACCGGCCAGGGCTTTATCTGAATCTAAGCAATCCTTTAGCTCTAACTTCCATTTTAGAGGAAATCCAGAGACTAAAGTAACACAGTAAAGGATACTATAAAATAAGAGAAGGTGTAATACTCCAGTCGACAGGACTGTAGTTTCCTCAACAAATGAAAGTAAGGCAAGAAAAAAGGTGGCAAAGAGGGAGAACTGTTTTATAACCAAGGAATCCCATGAGTCAACAACCAAATGTATCCTGGTTCAAAACAAACAAACTGTAAAAAGCCAGTTTGATGGCAACTAAAATAATCTGAACATTGGCTAGATATTAGATAATATTAAAATTATTACCTAATTTTTTTGTGAAATAACAGTATCGTAGTTTCATAAAAAGTATGTTTATTTAAAAGACTCATACTAAAGTATTAAGCACTAAATGTTATGAAAATGTAGTTTACAATATTTCAAAAAAAATGAATATACTGAAATGTTAACAATCTGTTAAATCTAGGTGATAAGTATGCCATAAGTATTTCACTGTTCTGTATTTTTCAGTATATTGAAAAATTTACACAATAAAAATTTAATTCCTGAACTTTATGTAAAATCTTCAAGTCTAAGAACATAGTTCCAACACTCACTTATATGAACACATTTCTTTTAAGTGGACAGATAATAAACATATGCTAGAATACAGGTATACTCCTCCTCCTCCAGTAGAGTAAAAAGGCCTACAATGCTTTACTTTGACACTCATCCTAGCAAAGGCAACCTGAATACGTTCACCTGAAATTGAAGACAAAAGAAAAAGAAATTGATATATTTCTAGCAATTATTTAGAATGTAAGGGAAAGAACTGTTTCTAGGCTCTCTATTCTATTCTACTGGTCAACTAACTTACTACTTTTAAACCATACCACACTATATTATTATTGAGTCATGATAAGTTCTTTTATTTGGTAAGGTAAGTCTACCCTCCCTGTTCCTCTTCTGCAGAAGTATCATGGTTACTGTTGGTCCAGTAGGCCCTCATATATACTTAAAAATTATCTTGCCAAGTTCCTTTAACACCCTCTTTGAAATTTTGATTGGAATGAAACTGAATATATATATATATAAATATGAAGAGAATTAATAAATACCAAAACAGTCTATCCTTTCCTTACTTCTGTTCTGAAAAGTTTCAAAATCTGTCCTACAGAGATCCTGCATATCAGTGGCAGGTCTAAATCTGGTAGTTGCTAAAACTAATATAAATTGTATCTTTTATATTCTCTCTGCTGTTAGCATAAACAGCTGATATTGTATATTACTCTTATATCCAGCCAAGCTTGCTAAAAGAGTCTCATATTATTTCTAATTAATGAGTAATAGACTCCTGATTTTTTGTTTTTTATCCTCACCCGAGGACATTTTTCGATATTTTGTTCAGATAGAGTGAGAGGGAGAGAGAGAGAGAGAAACATCGACATGAAAGCAACACATCGAGTGGTTGCCACTCACACTTCCCAACCAGGGCTGGGGACAAACTGCAACCAAGGTATGTGCCCTTAGCGGGAACCGAACCCGGGTCTCTCCGGACCGCAGGCCAACGCTCTAACCGCTGAGCCAAACCGGCCAGGGCAGACTCCTGATTTTTTAATATAAAAGTTTATATTGTCTACAAATATTTGATTTCTGCCCTTTTCAAACATCATGCTACCAATTTAATTTTCTTATTCACAAGCTAGAATTTCCAACACAGTGTTAAGATAGAGTGGTGAAAATAAGTATACTTGGTTCCACGCCTCAATTAAAAAAAAATTCTAAGATTTCCCATTAGGATGTTGTTTGCTGTACACTTTTATTTAAAACAGAGACTTTTTATCACATTAAAGAATTTTATTTCCAATCTTAATATACTATGAAGACTATTTCTTTTCTTTCAGCTTTACTGAGGTAAAATTGACATAAAGTTGTAAAATATTTAAAGTGTACATCATGGCGATTTGGTGTACAAATACACTGTGAAAAGATTCCTCCCATCTACTTCATTAACATATGATAACCACCCTTTATTTATTTATTTATTTATTTTCCATTTATTGATTTTAGAGAGAGAGGGAGAGAAAGATAGAAACATCGAAGAGAGAGAACATCGACTGGCTGCCTCCTGCATGCCCCCCACCAGGAATTTGACCCACAACTTGGGCATGTGCCCTGACTGAAAATCGAACCAGCGACCTCTTGGTGCATGGGTCGACGCTCAACCACTAAGCTGTAACGGTGG